GCAGTGCTACGTTTCTCCAAACAAACTCATCCTAATCTTGGATGGCCTGAGGATGAGCACATTTTCATTATTGGCTGAACTATTCCTTTAATGGTGAACACTATTGGTTCTTGTGTGTCACATGACCGTTCATGCAGCGGCAATTAGAACTACCCCGGCGAGGGGAAGATTATCATTGTCTGGATGCTCTGTCTGAGATCTCCTTTGGTGTTTCCTGGAAGAAAGAACATAATATGGGGTTGACTAGGAGGTGAATAAATGATGACAGAATTTGGGCTCAGCTTGTGGCCCGTCTGTCTGCCTCAGTCTCACCTGTCTTGAACTCGGTCCTCCTGTTCAGCGCGAGGCTCGTCCGAGGCCTCAGTATTGTGTCGCTGTGACTCTCTCTGTGACGGGCTAGCTTTGATCAGCTGTATCAGGAGAGGTTAGGCCGGGAGGTGTTTCAACTCTTTATTCCAGGAGATGAAAGCAGAGCAACAGTAGAAAATCCCACAGAAGTGGAGCTGCTCGGTTCGCTCTGGTCGTGAGTGGAGGGGCGGAGCCTGGAACTCCCGCGGTTGCCATGGGAGACACGTCATTCAGAAACAAGCGCTGATGGAGCGTAACAGTGGGATTCCTATTAAAATACTGTACCATTCATTTGCTCCATAGAGGAAGTGAGTTTATAACAATAACCTATACAATTTCAAGATACACCTACTATGAGCTGTACAGCTGAAGACATATATCTTATGTATATCATATATATATCACGTGTGTGTGTGTGTGTGTGTGTGTGTGTGTGTGTGTGTACATATGCGTTAGATGGATGACTTTCGGCAACGTGTAGGATCTTGCTGTTGTCTTGTGCCTTGCGAAGTGTTTCATTTATTTTGTTTTTATATTTATTTATTTATGTTGTGTTATTTTTTTATTTTGTTCTATATTATTTTATTATTATTATTTTTTGATTCATTTTTAATTTTAATTAAATTTGCCTTATTTTGTTTTATTTCATTTTCATTACTTTTTCATCATAGAAGATAATTGAAGGTTACATAATTCCAAAACCTATAATTTATATATATATATAGCTCTGTCTCTGTAATAAATCAATTGTAATACAATACAATGGTGATACAATAGTTTTATATTGTAGCATCATTTTTTTAATTTTATTGAATTTTGTTTGTTTTGAATTAATTTCATTTTTTGTCTTATTTATTTTATTTGTTTTGGTTTTATTAAATGTATGATTTTATTTTAATTAATTTATTCAAATTTTTTATTTTAGTTCATTTAATAATTTATATTCTATTCTATTCTATTCTATTCCCTGTTTGTTCCAGCGGCATTTGTTTGGCTTTTGTTGAAAATCCCAGAAGTTTACATAATTCCACTACCTACAATTTACAATACAGCGGTTATTTATTGTAGCATCATTTTTCACTTTTTTTTGCAAGTTTGCAATGCTTTGACTCATCTCTGTGATTGATATTTTACAATCCCAATAGAGCAGTAAAATAGAAAAAAATACTTCCGTAAGGGAGTAGTGGTCATTTCTGAGCTCTGTTCAGTGTCCAGACTGCAATACTGGAACATGTTGTTGGAGATGTGAGCGATATAAAATCCTCGTATGCGTCTGCACACAGAATCCAGACACTCGAGAAAGTGTTGGAGGTGAGAGCCAAGACGTGCGTCCGTCCTTGTGTGTCTTTGGCAACTGAGAAAGAGCGCAGGAGAGAAAGAGATGAATAAGTGCTTCCGGAGGAAGATGATGGGTGATGAGAGACGTGTGGGATATATCTATAACAGAGGGAAACAAAATCACATCATCAAACAATAGTAAGAGAGAAATATGAGCCTACAGGCCTTAAGGGACAACAGCGCTGAAAAGCTAGACTTTGACAACATTTATCTCCATCAGGCCACCTTCAGCCAGAGAGAGAGGGAGAGAATACAGATATATGGATTAGATGGGGATTCATAGCTGGAAAAACTGTAACCTCATTTTTGTAAATAAATAAAGTATCACATATGTGTGTGCTTACATAAACAACAGGGGAGCTCATAAATAACGGCGACGGTCTTGATAAAGGCGATCAAACGTCCTCTCTGTCTGCTCTGTTGTTTAATTGGTGTGTTATGTGTACTATTAACTGTGCTATGTACAAATAGAGTTCATCTAAATTAAGGAAAGGAAAATACTCGTAACTGTTGGTCTTGCCGTCGTCTTGTGCCTTGTCAAGTATTTAATTTTATTATTTAATTTTATTCATTTATTTATTTTTGTCTCATTTGTATTTTGTTACATTTGATCTTATGTTATGTATTTTTAATTGAAATAAATGTAAGGTTTATTTGATTTGATTTAATTTCATTTAATTTCATTGCATTTGCTTGGCTGTCATAGAAGATCATAGAAGGTTACGTGCTTATTTTTCTTTGTTTTATTTTATTATATCTTATTTCATTTATTTTATTTTGTCTTATTTATTGTTATTTTATTTTGTTTTATTTT